GCGACAGGTGGGTGGCAGGTAGTGGTGGTGGTGGATGGGTGGGTGACGATGGCTGGTGGTCGGTGGTAGCTAGTGGGTGGTGGTAGGTAGTGGGTGGTGATGGCAGGTGGGTGGCGGGTGGTGGTGGCAAGTGGGTGGTGAGTGGTGGTGGCAGGCGAGAAGAAAACAAAACGGTGGTAGAAAATGGTGGCGGGTGGTGGCTAGTGTTGGGTGGTAAAAAAAAAAAAAATCTCAAAACTCAAAATGAAAACACATTTTTTGTATTTTTATTTTTTGGCTGAATTTATAAACTGAGACCACTGATTTATAAATAAAAAATTTTACCAAACAAATTTTTATTTAAATTTTTAAAATTTTTATAAATATAAAAACACTCAAAATTTAACACCAAAGCATTGCAATGAGGAGGGCGACGAAGAAGAAGAAGAGGAAGAGACACTGATGAATCCTCCATCTCCATCACCATACCTCACCTTTCTTCCTTCACCCGCTAACCCTAACTTCTTCTATTCTCATCTCCACCACCATCCCTCTCACACCACCACCACCAACTCAATCACTTCACCAACACCACCACCTCCGCCTCTGCCACAGCCTCCCGATCTCCCTACCGCTCTCTCAACACTCAAACACCTCATCTACCTCTCCAAAACCACCCTCCACTCTATCTCCACTCTCCTTCCCACCACCGCCCTCTGCCCCTGCCCTTTCAATTTCCACCACCGCCTTCCGCCGGAATCCCTTTTCCGCCACTTCCTCCAATGCCCTTCTTCCCCTTCCCCTCTTTTCAACCTTAACCCCCTCCTGCTCCAATCACTGCGCTACCCCAACACTCTCAAACCCTCCCGACAACTCTTCAATCAGAACTGCTTCCTTCAAACCCTACATGATACCAACTCCAACCTCTGCTTCTCCCTTGACGATTACTGCGACTTCGGCCCCAATTTCTTCTACCGTAATTGGCCCAGCGTAGTTAGCTCTGCCGATCGAGATAGTTTGAGCCGAACCTTCACTCTCCCAGGTATTCTATCGATTCAGTGTGCAAATTTTGTAGGCAGTGATAATGGTGAAATTAAGGGTTTTTCTAGGGTTTGTGTTAGGCTTCTTCCTTTGGAGTTGTGGCTTGTTAGGAGTGAAATTGAGTCATTGAGGGATTACCCTATTGCCTATTCGTATAGAGTTCTTTGGATCATTTTGTGTTCTGTTATGGCTGAAGATTGTGATTTCCTTAGATGGGTAATTGTGAATTTGCCTTGTTATGATGTTGTGATTGATGTGCCTATGAGGGATCATATAGTTTTGCTTTTTTAGCTTTGTTTGAAAGCAATTGTGAGGGAAGCTACTGGTTCGGTGGATTCAGTATTGACAGTATTGAACAGAGATGCGTGGCAGTTGAATCCAGCTGCTATGAGTTTATATCATGGATGGCTATTATTTCATGATATAAACTCTGTGTCTAATGATTTGCACGTACAACATTATAATTTCAGTTTATTTTCAATTGTGGAAAGTGGTGTGTTTTTTTTTTTTTTCAAATTATGGATGTGAGAACTTTCTGGTTTCAAGTTCTCTTACTAAGAATTTAGAATTAGAAACAGCATCATAAGCAATCACTTGACCTGCTACTTTGTTTCCTCAGTGCACATCAAAGAAAGGTGGAAGTGAGACAATGGACCTGATTGATTGCAGAATAAAAGTTTGGTAGCCAGTTGACAAGCAGTAAGTATTTTGTTGGTTTAGAGAACAAGATTAAGCCATTTTTTAACAAAATAGGTGAGAGAGATAAAGTTGGAGCATGACATGTGTAGGTCTATGAAATTGGGAATCTCTATTATATTTAAATTTCTAATTTATTATGTATCCATCTTCTGTTTAAAATTAAGCTCTGGATAATTTCCTTTCCAGGTAAAAGTAGTTAGATTGAGATGAGTCCTATCCTTTCAGTCATAGGTTCAACACTTGAAAAAATATTTTCAATAACACCAGTGTCTACAGGGTTGGCCATGGCTTAGTTTTGTTCTTCACTTGGGTTGTGAAAATGAAGTTTATTTTCTTGTACCCATGAACACAGTGATCCCTTACCAAATTCTTCTTTGGTTCAGTTTCATGAAAGTTTCCCATTCTACTCCTCTGTTTAGGGCCATGGGTGGTCTGCTACTACTAGGAGTCTGCGACTTTTGACCAGTTTGTCACTCTGTTTTCTATGCCATCCATATTGGATTCTTTGGCATACATTAAAACTTTTCTTAATCCTTTGATTGAGTCATCTCAAATAGTTGACCTTGTTTATGACTCAATCAATAGCTACTCATAAGTTCTGTTCCATTCCTAATTGTGTCTTTCTTGCAAGGAAGCAAGGACACTTCCCTATATGTGACATATACACATTTTTGGACACGGATAGGTGTCAAACACTGGAGACATGCCCCAACATCTGTTAATTTAGTTTTACTTGACATGTTGCTGACTTGGTGAGGACATGCCTGTATGAGAATCAGACTCACACAGGCCAAAAATGGTAGGGGTCAAACTCTAATTTTGGAAGCCATGGTAAAAATAAAAATAAAAATAAAAAACTTGATACATTCAGAATGGAAAGAAAATTTGACTCTACACTCGCACATCCCAATATCAGTGATGGGCCAAGATGACTTGTACCCAGTTGTCAGTCGCACTTGCACATCCCAACGTGGGTGACTGGTGACGATGACTTCTGCCCAGCGGTGTGTACCCCAGGGCTAATGACCTCTGGCCAGTGGAGAAGGGCTTCTGGCATATTCTCTTTGGCCCTTGCTTGAATTGACCTCCCAGTCTTGTGGCCTTTGGCTGATGTTGCTTGGGTTGTCATGATGATTAAAAAATTATATATATTGATCTCATGTTTGCTCTTTAGCTACCATCTTTTGATTGCTTTGATGCTGCCAATTTTCATCAGCCAAATCAATTTGTGGGCTGTCTGGAGATGGATTACATGTGGATGCAAGCCTCAAACCCATTCATCATCTTTTTTTACTTTATTTATATTTTCTATTTGTCGAACATGACATACAAAGAAAAAATGGGAGAATCAAATCAAAATTTATATTTATAATTTCCAAATGTAAATATATATATGTATATATTGTCGTGGCTCTGCTGGTTTTATGCTTTTTGAAATTTGCCTTGTTAGCGTGTATATATATATCCATGTGCTAATAAATTATTCAAAAGCATACTGTATAATCTTGATCTAGGGAATGACAATCCTTGATTACCTTAGTAGTGTGTACTTTTTGTACACATGGTTTGCACTCCAAAATCCTTGTGTATACGCTGCTGCAAGAATTGTGTCTTGATGGTGTCTTGTTAAAATCAACAGGTTTTATGGAGTAGTGAAGTCTTATGACTCCGAACATAAGAAATTTGTGGTAAGTGCACCGTTCCATGTTCTATTTTTTTATTCTAATACTTGTGTTAGTCATGTTTTGGAGATACACATTTTATTTATTTATTTTTTTATCAATAATGTAATAATTGTAATCTCATATGGTTCTTTGACATAATTTTCTCTGATCAATTTTGTGTTAAAGGTACTGTATGATGATGGAGATGTGGAAGTGCTCCGTTTAGATAAAGAGCGTTGGGAGCTTGTTGACAATGGTCACAAGCCTACAAAGGTTAACTTTCTATTATAAATTCTATTGAAGCAATGAATTGGCCTTTAACTCTAACAATGTGTTTTTTTTACACCACCATTCACAACAGTTAAATTCATCGAAAGGTCTATCTAAAAAAGGATTGTGAGTGATGCCTTCTAATTCATATCTGCAATCTACAAATTGTTTTGTGGGAATTATATGTTTAAATGTGCAGAGGCTTGTGGCAGTATTGGTGCATGGATCTAATTTTATTTTATTTTGCAGATCATCTGAGAAGAACATCTACAAGGTTTCATTTTCATTATGATTTATTCTAAACATTTGGTTTATAATAGTGTTAGTACATTTTGATTATGTAATTCTGTCTAGATATATAACCTGTTTCATATACTAACCATTAAAGCTTCATTAATTTGTTTAGGACCATGGAACTGTTAGTTGAGTATTGAAAGGGTAAAGAGTCCATGAAAACCAACTAAAACATTTTGTTTACAATGTTATAGATAATCAAAATCAACTAAAACATTTCTAACACCAAAATTATAAATTCTGTGTTTACGGAAGCTTAAGCAGAAATATCTATAAATTTTCAGGTTGAGGAACTTGCTCGGTTATCGTTAATACAACTCCTGTCTATATTGATGTGGACGATGGGCGGAAGAAGGTAAATTAATCATTGGAATTTATTCGTATAGAGTCCATTTTTTTTTATATACTTTTCTTTAGGTATGAATACATTTTCATATAATCTGCAAATCAAAGTAGTCATTGCTCCACTAAAAAATCCAAAATACACAGGAAGCCAATATTAATTCTCTTTCTTTCTTGTGCTTAACCCCAGCAAGGTAGAGGGTGGCTTAACAAGTGCAATTTCAACAAACTTGAACGAAGAAGGCCCTTTGCCCTCTATAAAATTGGTCAGAAAACAATTCGGTGGCAGATATGCCATATCATCTGAGGAGTTCACTAGTGAAGTGGTTAGGATTGCATTGTCAAATTTCATTTATATTTGAGGAGTTTTCTCTTTTTTTCTAAACAGTTTGTGTAAGTTACAGAATGTTGATTTTCACAGGTTGGAGCTAAATCACGTAATATTGGATATCTAAAAGGAAAACTGCCTTCTTGGGTTGGGATTCCTACCTCAGTTGCCCTACCATTTGGAGTTTTCGAGAAAGTTCTTTCAGACGGTTTAAATCAGGTTTTCCTCATCTCAAAATCTTTCACATATCTCTATTGTAGTTTGTTATTGCACTCTTCATTCAGCAACTTCTAATGTTTCCGTTTGGCATAGGAATTTTTAACTTCTTAATGTTTCCATTTGGCATAGGAATTGAGCACAAATCAGTAAATGCACTAATCCTGGAATATATATATATATAGTAAACCAAAATTAGCACACACAATTCGTATCGGCTAAAAAGCACTGCCAGTAGGGCTTTTCAGGGCAGATCAACTCTTTATCTGTTACATCATTCAAACCACAAAGAAATAACTCCAAATACCATATATATTCGTAAGACAGCAAGAGATACGCACACATGCACACTCAAAAAGGATTTAGAAGAAGAAGAAGAAGGAGAAGAAGAAGAACAACAACAACCAACAAACCTAATCCAAAAAACACACCAGATTTTATTAGCTGCCTTGTATTTTATTTTTTCATGTGTCATAAAGAGTTCCTTTAACATAATTATGCAAGTCCCAAGTAGGTGCTGCACTGAAGTAGATTAATTTCGCAACTTCCTCTTTTTAAATTTGATTTTTCTCTTGAGCTTCTTATGGCCTGGATTTAGTAGCAAACTATTGAGATCTTGAATTTTTGCTAATTTTTCATTATGACATTGCTTTTATGGGCCCATTGAATTATCTTATTAATTTTGGAAATGTTTTGTTGATGTTTTAAAATTTCTTGATCATTTCTTAATATCTCAAGAAATATTTTTGTCCTGAGTCGTTGGTTTTTGTACTTATGTGAAGTTTCCTTTGTCATGCAGACAAGAAATGCAACAAGGTTACTTGTAGTCCAAGTTTTCCAAGTCCTTAGGTTATTTTTTATTTCTTTTAGTTACTATTAGGGTAGAAATTTTGGAATTGAGGATGAGGGTAAGGGTTTCTTTCTCACAAGCTTTTCAAATGCTCTAAAAGGTTCATAAAATGCTAACATGTAGACACCCCATTTTTAACCGCCCGCAAGACTTAGCCGATTGGTTCGATACACTTGATGATGAAAGTTGAATTGTGTGCTTTGAATTCACAGTGATTCGGATTCAATTAGGCTCCGAAATAACCTCAAATCTTCAACATTTACCTTGTTTGAACCTGTGAGTTTCATTTTTGGACCTTTTCCCACCCTGAGCTGAGTTTGAACAAAAAAAACAGGGGAGGCCATCAAGGCTCGGTCGTGCATCAGTGATGGCCGGCCGCGGCCCTCGACGGCAATAAACACTGTTCTGGGCGGGAGGCCGCCAGCTGTCCATTTTTGAAGATATTTATCACATTTTGAGCTCGAATTCTATAAAAACGAAGCTCTGGGATTGTTTTGAGGGTTGAACAAAAATCTAGAAACCATGTATGCACCTTGAGAGCTCTTGCCTCCTCCTTCTTCCATTGCAAGTCATCTTTGAGCTAACCTAGCTTGTTTATACCATCTCTATACTCCATACATAACCTTGTCTTACCATTCTAGAGACTTGGTTGATCTTGGGGAAGCATAATTCAAGCTTGAGGGTGAATTAAAACCAAGTTTGGACCATCAACAATAAGCTTACTCCTTTAAAGGTATAAGCTTGTTTTCTTCTCTCTTGCATTCATTTCTACAACTTGCTTCATAGTTCTTGCTATTTTGAATTGTTTTGAGCTTATTTGAAGTGTTTGGGGTTGGGTTTGAAGAGTTACCAAAAGGGTAGAGAGCTTGCTCTTTCTATACCTTTACTGATAACTCAAACCTCCCCTTTTCCACTCTTTTCCTTTGATATTCACACTGATTTTCAGAGTTTTAGAAAGGCTAAAAATCATGTTTTGAAGCTTCAAAAGTGGAGGGATTAGCCACCCCTTCTTATTCTTGCTTACTAGCTTTAATTCTCTTCTTTATTGTTTAGCTTTTCAAGCTCCTTTCATGCATGTTCTACCTCTATTTTCCATGTATTAGGGGCTGTTTTGAGGTTGTCCAAGCCTTTTCAATTGGTTCATGCATTGTTTAGTACATTTGTGATCTCATAAGTTAGCATATGTAACTTGTTACTTGTTATATAGCTTGTTTTTACTCATTTCCATGTTGAGAGTCGAAGTTTAATAATCAATCCATCATTCATCTCTTTCATACTTGAGAATGATTTCAACCAATTGAGGTTGTTTGAATCATGTAAGAAAAGTTCCCACTTAATGGCTTAATCTTTTCGAAGATTCATTGTCAACGGTGTGGTCTTTCTCTCATGCTTTAGAAGAACCTCTTGTTTGACATTACTTCTTGTTTAGAGGACTTCAACATCACCATGAACAAATGGACTAAAGAATGGCAAGGCCTAATAAAATTGGTTTAAAACTTGGATCAACACACATAAAGAAAATGGCTTAAATTACTTCAACTTGGCCGGACGTTATGCCAAGTTACTTCTGTCAAGAGTCATCACATGTTAATTCATAGTATTTTGATGATTCTTGAAGCGTTGCAACCTTCCTTTTTGAGTTCATACTATGACAAGAGGGAGGAGTGGTCCTATTCTTTACATTTTATCAATTTTTGTCCAAAATTGAATCCGAGATCATCAAGCAATCATATTGCTCATTGATGGCTTTGGAATCAATTCCAACCTACTCTCGAGGATTTCCCATGACAGAGTAGGAAGGAAGGACAAACAGAGCTTAAGAATGCTCTATCTGCACTGATTTCACCTCAGAACACAAAAACAGAGCTTTACACCAAATTGATGCACGGCCGGTCATCTGTAGACTCGGCCGGCTGTCAATGATGCACGGCCGGCCCTTGGTGTGTGGCCTGCAGTGCGATTTTGTAGAAACAGAGGCAATGGTTGAAGGTGAAACAAAGACGGCCTGGGCAGACAGAGTAGCTTTCAAGCGATGCGCATGCAACCTTCATCCATCTTCCATTATGCTCTTATCAAATGCAATTAATTGTTTCATTAGTATTATTGTCATAGTTGTGAATAAATTTTGTTGTAAATTAATTAGTTGTAGCCAATTAGTTTGTGTTGTAATATTTAATTAGCTTAGCCTAGTTAAATTCTTAATTAATTAGCTTAGATAGTTAGTTAATTTTTAAATCAAGTGTTGTAATAATTAGTTAAGTAGTTAGCTAATTTCATTTGTGCTGTAATAATTAGCTTAATTAGCTTAGCTAGTTTATTCATTCGGACTCTCCTTCGTGAGAGCGTGTTGTAATAATGTGTATGTCTTCTAACCCCACGTCTTTTTCCCTTTTATTTAACTGCTTTTGATGGTTAGATTAGGGACATGTTTCAATTAGCATACCTTATGCTTGCATCTATTCATTTTGTATTGCATGCACTGAGACTCGGCGCATCATTTAAATTGCATTGTCGTTTCAATACTTAGATGAATACGTGTTTAACCGCATGTTATCAAATCGATCCATATGCCATATGAGTAGCCGAGCCTATTAATTGCATTCTTTGTACGTGTTGCATTAGTCATCTTGTATAGTTAGGAATCATGCATTTTTCTAACTCTTTTGTTTTGTCTTTGCATGGAGTATTAGGTGAGTTTTTAGTGCTTTAGCATACTTGCATGAGTGTGAGTGATTGCCATGACTAGCATGCTTACCATGAGGCTAAATGCTTCCTTGTTAAACTGTTTGAATTCTTGTGAATGAAGGCTTGTTGCTTGAATTAGAACAATTCAACGAATGTACATTTAAGCCCACTATGTCTAGTGGCAAATTCATAGCTTTAAGCCCACTTTGTTGAGTGGTAAATTTGCAAACTTTAAGCCTACTTGAGGTGGCAAAATTAAACCCTTTTCACAAAACAAACATGAAATTGAGTTGTTCCAATTCTTGCACTTTTAGTCTATACTTGCTTGTGCGCATCGCATAGTAATGCTAGCTTAAATAATTGGAACAAGAGCATATAATGTTGATAAAAATCATATCATGATTAGTAGAGGCCGATCTTTGATCGGGCGAGCGGGGGTGCTCAATCCATGACCTTCCCCTCTTATACCTAAGTTCCCAAGCCGAGGCAAGTTTGGTGATGACGGACACATGGCCTTTGACACGAGTCATGGGTTTTCTAAATTTTTCCAAAATAAAATATTTAGATGGCGACTCTGTGTCTAGCAAAGCAGTCCAATATTGACATTTTGATTCAAAATCAAATTTCCAAAAGATTTGCTAGATTTGGACTCTTTGGTATTTATCAATTTCACATTGCAATTGTGAGATCAAATTCAGAACCGTGGGCGTTCGAACTGTAGGGCTTTCTTTCGAGCTTCCGAAAAGGGGCGCGAAAAAGTCGAGCTACATAACCCCTTCCAAGAGGGGGGTGGGGGTGCTTTTATAAGCACTCCTAGTTTAGAGAGAAAACCAAAAGAAGCTGCTAGGGTTGAGTATCACTTTCTTTCTAGCGCCTCCGTCCAATACAGCCTTGCCATCCTTGCAAAATTTTCATTCCTGTTTGTTGAGGGCAAGTGCGGCCGTGCATACCAGGTGGGCCACACAATGCACTTGCGAGTGCACATGCGACTAATGGTCCAGGTGTCAACTTTGCAAGTTGGGTGCAGGTTTGCATGGCAATGTGCATTTTTGCATGACTTTTGCCTGCTTATGGCCCAATTAAGCCTAAATTGTCTTTTGATCAATGTTTTTGATAAAACCGGTCAGTAATTTTGAAAAATATCATCAATCTAAGTGCAATCGAGCTTCCTCTATCAGGGAATTGGTTTTTGGCTTAAAAATGGCTTCAAGGGAATTTTGGTCGTTTTTACAAAAAGTCAGTTTTTGGCCAAAATAGGGTGTAACGGCAACTTTAAGCAATCTCTAACATTCCAAAAGTGGAGATATTACCATTTCATCATTAGGAGGTTTACAAGTGCTCGAAGTTTTAGGGTCAGTCAAAATGGAGCGTCTATAGTCTCTGTTAGGTCAACCAGGCAAACATGATGACTTCCTAGAGCGAACTCAACTACAAAGTTTGCCAGTGCTTGAGCCTTGATAGTTGTCCT